ATGAGATTAGAGGGCAGCATGCATAGCTCAAGATTGATTTGTTGAAGTTTAAATCCCCTACAAAAAGTCAAATTCCTAGCATGAGAGGAGAAAGAATGCATTAGTGTATTACGGTGCTGCATAGTTTATCTGAATAAATGCTGTGCGTTAACAGCATCATCAGCTTCTAATTAAAAGGCAATCATGAAGACAAACTATTTTATTGTATTAGCTTTACTATGCAGTAGGTACAGACAAAGAAAATATTTTCTACTACTAACCTTACCAGTTTTTGGCATGACTGCCTTTCCTTCCGGACTACTGCTATACTTGACTTCTCAATCTTTTTGAAACTTAGCTCAGAAGAAGGTAACATAATCACAACACTAACATGTTAAAAATCACTGATAGTGTTTTTCATCACCACACTACTGACAGAACAGTTTTTTAGTGTGTTAGAAAGACAATTAAAAGAATTTCTGACTAGCATTTTAAAATAAGATTTTTCTAAAGCCAACAAACTTCAAATTTCTGAAACAGTCAAGCAATACACATACCTGCAATTGGAATGTTCTGCGAGACTGACAGCTGTACATCTCCTGTCCCAGGTGGCATGTCAATTACTAAATAGTCCAGCTGACCCCAGTCAACCTAGAAGATGACAAAAAAAAAATGTACATTGGAGGTCTGAAGTCTTTTTATTTAAGGCACTTTGTGTTTTATTGCACTCCTTGTTTCCTGCATGCAAAACAAGTGAACCAAGGACACCTCAAAAGTATGATACTGAGATGCCCTTTTAGTCACACTTTCAGTATAGGACCAAGACATTACTTTTCTAAGAGATCCAATCTTTGTGAGCATAATTCTTGTTGAATCTTTCCCCCCCAAAAAAGTAGCAACAACTTAATTTAGGACTTTTACTTGGCAGCTGCTTAATCATAGGTTAGAAGCAAATGTTAGGTAAAATTCAGGCTAAAATTCTGGGGTTTGTGCAATAAACACAGCTTAGGAATTGTTTCCACTAATTTAAAACCAATTTTGCTTGCTTCTTATCACTTCTTTGATACTACATATAAATCTTTAGTAATTTTTTTCTGGTTTGTTGTTGCATAGTTAGAACTATCAGTACTGATTTTTTTCTAGGAAAAAAAGCTGTTGGTAGAAAAAAAAACAAACACAAACAAACAACAAAACCCAACAGATTTGTTAAATGAAAATCACCAGGTATAATTATACAAACTTACAACGTACATAAGACATCACTCAATAAAAAAGTTTACTGGTTACTAAGCATGAAATGAGAGTGACCATTAAAGACATTAGGTTCAAATATGAGAATGCTGTGATTATTTACGTTCTTTACCAGGACAGATTTCCAGGAGAGCCAAATAACTCTCTCTAGACCACTGTGTACTGCAATAAACGTTCTCTTCGTGAGAACAAAAATGGTCCTAGGCCTACTCTATATAATGTAAAGCCAAGCTACACTTTTCCTAAATGTTTCCCAACGGTTAAAGTAAGCTTCAGGAGATCCTCAATTCAACCCTGACATAAAGCAGGGTAGTACCAGTGCATTCTTACCAGCCAGCAGTAATGATATAAGGTCTTTTGTCTCTGCAGTACAGAAGCTTTAGAAATCGTAACCACATTAAAAATAAAGACCCACAAATATCTCCCCCTCATTTTTCTCCCCACACAGCCATAATACAATCATATGCTATGTTTCTGATTCATACAACAGATATAAGACACAACAGCATATGAGATGCTTTAATACTGGAAAATGCCAAACAAGAATAGGATTTTACTTTCTCTTCTATTTTACACATTCCCTCAGTGACATTTTAACAGCAAAAACAATTGACATTTTGCCAGTCCCCCAGTTATTGTCCTGGACTGTTCGACACTGTCAGGGGAACACTCATGAATTTTCATTCAGTTCTTGTATGGATGATGAACTTCTGGGAAAGCACAAGTGATGTGAAATCCAGACCACTAACCCAACGTAGCACTCCAGTGAGAAATGGAATTTTTCAAGGCAGACTGATGAAGATGGAAGATTTCAGAGCACTTAGGGGAGAAGGGGGGTGGGGAAGGTTAGCTGCAAATTCTAACTTTAGACATCTAAATTAGAGACTCTCAGGCACACCTCCCTTTCCTCATTTTCTATCCAAAGGTGGCACGAGCACTAAATGGTTCCTAAGATGGTCTAGCTAAACAGGAAATGCCACTTATGTAGCATGTAGCCACAGCAAACACTGCACTTCACTGTATCACGTTTAATATTGATCTGTATTATCTATAATATCTGTTTATTTTATAGTATCTACATTTTCTCAACACAAATGGCATATACCTAGCAGATTTCTAAAAGTAATTAGCATTCATAATAATATTGAGACTACATAACCCCAAAGAAAAATTACATGTATGTGCAAAAATGTATGTACTGAAACATAAGCATGGGGTAGAGAAGCCAGTTTATTTTAAAAAAAAATCTGGGTTTTAATTTGTTTTTCTTAACCTTACTTTTTTATAAAGCAAGACAAATGCCAGAACCGGTGAATTACTTTGCTCACCTGAAGGCATGAACTTTAAATTTCTGTTTCTTAATTAAAAATTAACCATTATAAAGGTGCCAAATTGAAATTATATAGATGTTAAAAAGTAGCAGTAGTTTACATGATTAAAGTCAAGTTCTGTAAAGATTCACAACTAAACACATATATCCTCTATAAATAGTTAAGTGCATAAATTTCAACAAGCAAAACCAAATCTTTCATAATAATCACAACCATTTTGAAATGCTAAGGTATAGAGGGTTTTAATAAAATTAACAAAAAAAAATTTTAATTTTTAACTCAAAATACATTTTTCCCCCAGTGTCTTCATGAAGGCCGACCCTGGCATCTTTTGTTAAGTCCAAATTTAGAAGTCCAGTAATCATATTTTCCTTACTTAAATACTTCTACAGAAACTATGAATAAACTGGTTTTTTTTGCTTTCTGCCTTGCAGCAACATGCATTCCTAAAACACATCTATGAGTGGCATAGCACTACTATCATTCTGACACATTTTCCAATCACTTTGATCACGTTGTCTGACAAAAACACTTGGTTCTTGAAAAAACTTGGAAATTGAGTGGCTTTCAGCCCTTTTATCCAGGAGCTCAACTTCAAGTCCTTTTAGGTACTCATGGAGTAGTGAAAAACAATCCAACCCCCGCCCTTATCAGGGGTAACTGGAATAAAAAAATAAATGCACTGGGTTTTTTCCCATAGATAAAAGCTGTCTAGCTTTGCATATGCTTGCTGGCCCTAACTTTCAGATAGCTCCTCTTGCGGAACAAGGTGATTTTCTGGGCCTGTCCTATAGCTTTTCTTTTCACTCGTACCAGAGGTTCTGCTCCTCCAAGATCTTCACGCACTAGACCCCTTCATCAAGCTCCATGTGATCCACCTACCTAGCAAGCACTACAGTCCCCCAAAGAAAACATCCAGACCTATTCTACTACTATTTGGAACACTAATAAAGAAGACGTCGAAGGCCAGTGCTCAAACCCTTTCCTACGTGGTCAGTTTTGTGGGGAAGCACAAAGCAGTTGCTACTCTTCTAAGGAGTGGTAGCCGCCTTGATAAAAACATCTCCATGAAGAACCTTTAAAGTAAAAGAACACTTTAATAAATAGCTTACTGCTTCAAAAACACACAAAACAATTGCTGCTTCAGAAGTTACTTTCAAAATTTACGACGCATAGTAGAACAGGAGAAAGGGTACAGAAATCGGAGGGCACCAGAGATTTCTGCCTCAAGCTTCCTTAGTAAGTGACCCCATAACAACAAAAAGAACTTTCAACATGCACTTTCTAGATTGGCCTACAAGTAATGATTTTTATTAAAGTTATAAACCTCTGAAAACAGAAGGTAATAATGGAATCTTAAGCACATGGTGAATCTCACGGTAAATCTCATTGCTAGGCAACAGGAAAAATACTCTGTTAACACATAGTGCAATTAGATTATAATGCTTTACTTAATTTACCTAATTTATGGCACTGAAACCATCTTATTTCATATATTTTCTTCAAATTCACGGATTGAAAAAAAAAAAAGAAATGAGCTGTCTTTATCAAATGAATTGTACCTCATTATAATACTTATAAATCTGAGCACGGAAAAATGGAGAAGATACACCATCCCAGCAGCAGTGGAGAGTATGTGTTGTTGCTGTGCAGAGTAGAACAGAAGACAGGCTTTTGTCACACCAGTTCAGAAAGACAACAGTGAAGATGTCTAGGTGCGTGAGTGTTGAATGTATGTGAGAACTACCCTCCACACACCTCTCTGAGTTACGCCACTGCTGTGGCACTGAACTGGTAGAAGTCAGATGGCAAACCAGACTGGAAAACTGCTCCTCATTAAAACTAACCTTAGGTTTTATTTTGAATTTTGGATGTAGTCAAATAGTTATCCTTACAATTCTATTCTCTTCCTTTTCATCTGTAATTCAGGGTGAGAATGGAGAGCTACACCACAGTGACATTGCTATAATTGCTGAAAAGAACTGAGCTGGTGTTTTTGCCTAGTAGTGAACAGTGTCCTCTAGACATACGGACTTGCTCAGGCTTAGGTTGGGGAACTCTGCACCTCATCCCATTTCTCTCTGTAGACTTCCTCTTATTCTCTTCTGTTCTGCAGAAGTAGACGACGAACACTGTGGAGTTCAGTTGCTCCTCCATTACCCTCCCACAAGCAGTATGACAGTCTTTATTAAACAAATTATTGAAGGTAATTTGGAAGGTGTAACAGTTTGTTATAGAAGTGTACACGTTATTTTCTGGGAGAAAATATGCCAGGTCTGTTATTAAATTTCAGCAAAGGAGGAAAAAAGGGAGGAGAGACATTTTCAATTAAATTTAGAATTGGAACATATAATCAGAAGAGTGGCTTTCTGAAATCTACTATCCCCATTCATTCAACATTATTGAAATGGGACGTATAATCAGGCTGTGATATAAAACATTAATTTGAATGCAAATCGTGTTTATATGCAACAATTTACCAAATCAGGACCACTAGCCCTCATGTTCTCAATCAGTTCCGAGAAGTGCGTCTGTATGCAAATGCGGTTGCATACAAGTAAATGAGCTCAGATTAACAGCACATTACAGTAAACAAGTTCCCTTTGCAAGCAATAAGCGGACAGCGGTTACAAAAGCCTGCCTTGTAGCATCTGAAATCTGTCAGCACCTTTGCATGTACAGAAGTGTTAATATCTTTGCCCCTCTAATACATACAGTGTGTAAAACATTTCAAACCATAGAAATGTAATTGCACTTTCCTTAAGTATAGCATTCATCTTTTTTTAAACAGGTTTAACTTGACATTTATTGTTAAGCAATGTAATTAAGTGCCATGCGCTTCTGTGTATTTTCCCTTGCTCAGAAACACCATGAATGCTTCTATGTAAATTACTTTAATCAATCACTCTGTTTATGTGACGATTCATAATCAAAATACCAGATACGCATTTTGAGTAAGGGTTCCAAAGAGCAAGTTAAACCCAAGGTAGAGCAGAGAGATACAGATAGCATTTCTGCTGCGGAACGGAGCCTGAGCATCCTCTGTGCATGAGGCAGAAATGAGAGAAC